TGATGTAGATAAATTTGAATCTAAATGGTCGTAAGTTAAAGCAAACATGTTGATTCTATTATATCTGTGTGTGTGTGTGTGTGTGGGGGGGGGGGGGGGTCGGCTTTGGTGACATTTGGGGGCAATTGTCGAGTCCCCATTTGGTTGAAATGCCTTTGGTGGGTTGGGAGTTGGGTTTAGGACCAAGGTGTGAATTGAGTTTAGGTTAGTTTTTGGGTCAGGTAGGTACCTGTGAGGTTAGCCTTAGGGTTTATGGTCAGGGTTAGGCTGTAGAAATGTAATGGAAGTCAATGGAATGTCCCCTATTGGATAGCTGTGCAAACTTGTGTGTGTGTGTGGCCTTGTTTTTCCTACATCATGGGGCCCAGTTGGAAAATACAGCCTCGTGGGGACCAGGTGCTCCTTGGGCCCCACAACTTCGGAGGCTGATTTTGGGTGTGGGGGTTGGATTTAGGACCATGGTGTGAATTGAGTTTAGGTTAGTTTTAGGGTCAGGTAGGTACCTGTGAGGTTAGCTTTAGGGTTGGTGGTCAGAGTTAGGAAATTACCAAAAAATGAATGGAAGTACATGGATGGGCCCCACAAGTACATATAAACAAGTGTGTGTGTGTGTGTGTGTGTGTGTGTATGTACCGTATGTATGTATGGCACCGTCATCACACACATAGAACATGAACCCGTCCATGTGTTGTGTGTTCTGTGTACTTCGGCCGAGGACAGAGCGTGTTCTTAGAAACACATCAGTAAAGGCATCTGTGGAGCTCATGTGTCCTTCGGCTCTCACTGTCATAAAGATGGATGTGCAGTCAGCCTGCATGCAGTTTCCAGTAAAACGGATTATCGTGTTAATTGTCACGCTCTGTGTTCATAAAAGGGCCAGTATGTTTCACAGATTTATTCACAAACATGAGTTTGTTTTAAATTCATTAGAATGCTGTTCAAAAGGCCAGTGTTTGTCTAAAAGTCAAACATACACAGTAGGTCATGAGAATGGCATTTTATAAAATGTTACCAACAATTTTTATATTTTAAGATTATTTTACCATAAATATTATKCAATTTATGTTCCTCAGCACCAGCCGTGCTACAGTTAGCTTTTGCTGCTGTTTGGGCTTTTAATTAACCAACAAAAAGTATAAGTTAGTAATCCTATGCCAAATTAATAGAGATGTAAAGGTTTGTAATCAACAAAGAACTTTGAGTTGCATGTTCCAGCTTGTCTATCTGGCCAGAATCTCACAACTTAGTGATTCAAATAGCTATCTAAAACAGGTAAGATACTGTTTATAACCTTTCACATGCCCTACTAACTTTGACATACTTTTTTTTGGTCTAATAACATCAAGAACAAGCTCATAAATCCGCTCCCTCATATATTTAGCCCAGCCTGCAGGCTGTGTCAGCAGTTTGATGGGACAAACTTGTCAGCCAAGAAACATTTATTCAAACTGAACATGTAAAGTAGTAAAAACTCACAAAATACTTAAGACACAAACCATTACTGAAATCTTAAATTGTTGTCCTAAATACTCTGCAGTCATAACTTTTTCATTTTTTATGTTTGATTCTTTGTATTGTTTGTCACAGATATTAGTCAGGGTCATGAAAGAGAAACACACACATATTTCCTTTTTTTTTGGCTGATGGGCTGTCCATTCTAAAAAAAACAACTGTGTGTGTGTGTGCGTGCGTGCGTGTGTGTGTGTGTGTGTGTGTGTGTGTGTGTGTGTGTGAGTGTGTGAACATACTC